TCTCCCACGACAAGTCTGCGGCAAACGCCTCCCAGCCGTTGAAACACTGCGCCATGCATTCACTGAGCCGCCTCACAGTGCCGGGTTGGGAGTGTGCGCCACCCCTCACAGTCGTCTGCAGCCCAACCGCCGTCTTCCGCGGCGCGTCCACGAAGAAAAAGGCGTCTACCAGCGGAAAGCCTCTTGCGCTCGGTACGTACAACGCCCCACACTCCACATCAACCTTTGGGGGATTGACTCCCCGTGGGGCCAGTACGACTGGCCTGCTTGGATGCTTCTCGGGGTGCGATTGCAGCACACATGGCCGTGCCTCACGTCCCCTTGGCGGCCTCAGCTCTTCAAGTCTCGCTTTTATATTAACCACAAAGCCCCCAATCGTGAATGCGTGCACGCCGTACACTTCCAGGCCTTCTGACAAACACGAATCCTTCAACCTGAATAGTTGCCGCAAAACATCATCCTGCTTGCCCACCTTTGCCAACTGCCCCATCAGTTGGTGCCCGAGCCGAAAACATATCGGCAGGATCGCAACCGCCTCATCCCCGCCCGCTCCGCTGAGTCGGACGGCCTTCACCAGCCTGTGAGACGCGTCCTTCGCGGGCCACACTGCCATATCTCCAACGAGAGGGAAACTCCCGGCCTTCGAAGCGTTGAAGAGCTCCAAGGCGTCCTTGGCGTAAGTCACGCGGTCGCTAAATGCATTGCCATCCAAGACGCAGCGTGGAATCGGCCCCACATCTTCCATGCGCTCCTTGACCGCTGTCCAGTACTCCGCTTGCTCCTCCGCAGACCGATCACGCGTCCTCCAGGCACACATCGCCCTCACTTCATTCCCGTCAGGGCAATTCATGACGACAAGGTCGGCCATCTTTTGCTCAGCCCACGATTTGTAGTTTTTTTCGTTCGGGGAGGACAACACGATGATGCCCCACGTTTCAGCGGGCGGGAAATCCCTCGACGGCCCATGACCCTCTTCATCCACGTCGTAGATAATATACCCTTTCAGCTTACGCTGCCACGCCAAATCGTACAAATGCTCGGTGACGTTGTCCGCACCCCCGTGCACGCTCACTGTTTTCGACGTCGTGTCAAACACGTACGCCAAGTCCCCCCCAAAGCAGTACACAACCACCCGGAGTTGCTCGGCGTCGTAGCGCAGCAGCTGGTGGAGGAGGTAGAAGCCAACGCTCATCGACGCCCCCATCCCGGGCGTCCCGAATCACGAGACGCCGCCGCAGGCCAAAGTATTGTTGCCCCGCAACGCCGAACGCCCCGTTTAGGTCGCCCTGGACGATCCGCCAAACACGATCTGCCTCACGGTTGACGTAGCAGTCCTTCATGTCTGTTCCCCCCCGCAGCAAGCACGGCCAGCCCTTCTCC